ATGCAATAGGTGTTCTATATTATATTGCATAGGTAATTGGGTGTTGTAAAAAAAAACTAATAATATAATAATATGTAGATATGACAAAGCAAATGACAATTGTTGCTGAAGCTTATTTTTATCAATATAAGTTTATTTGTTTATTGTCTTAAATAAAATTGAAAAAAAAACAAGATAAATGTAGGCAAATAGTCATACATAATAGCTAATAATTAGTGAAGAAAAAGCATGACTAAAAATAAAATAAATATTTAAAGCAAAACTAATCTTTATTTAATACTTTTTTTAATTTTTTTGAATAGCTTCCTATTTTCTAAATTTTATTTTACTTTTGTTGTTGTTATTTTTATTATTCAACTAGTATAGTACCTACCACCTAAGTATACAATTTATTAAAATGTAACCATGACTACAATTTATTTTTACATCTATATAGTCTAATATGTTTTCTAAATAAGGGTTTGATTATAAATAATTTGGAACATCTACCAACCTTATTATATAAGACTTAATCATAAAATGTATTTTACTCCCTAATAATGTATTTAATAATATTAGTATTGTTAAATATTTGAGTGAAAGTATTCTGCAAATACATTTTTTTGTACAAACAATATATTTTTTTTAATTTTAACTATTTAAATTATTTTATGAGTATTCTAAGTATTATAATAAATGGTAATATGTTTATTTAGGTACATTAGTACCTACTTATAATTACCCTTTTGTAGAAATTAAATAAAAATATTTCTATCAATATTATAATATATTTTGAAAAAAGAGGTTTTTATTATGAGTGGTTTTTTACTTGTTGATTTGTCACAAAATTTGAAATTAAATTTATCACCATAAGCTACCTTTTGGTTTTCAATAATTATGTCCTGAGTTATTGTTTGAAAATGTCTTTTTTGAAGTCTTTTCAGACGGTTTTCACCTTTATCATTTTCCAACAGTTTTAAAGATAGAACAGAGCTACATTTAAACAAACAAAAACAAATAATAAATAATAACTTATTTTTGTAGGTACTAATTATATAATATTTTCAAAAATACTTTATACAATTATACGGATATAGGTCATTATTACTCAAAGGTATATTTTAATTTTAATATTAAATTAACTTTTTGAAAAGTTATGACCAGATCAAAAAAATATAATTACAATAATATTTATATGTATTGAACTTAGATCAAAATAGTTGATAATATTTATTATTCATATAATTGTGTATCCATTTCTATGAACTTATTATATGAAAAAAGACAATAGTACCATTATAATTTATAGTTTAAGGTTAGGTACCTACATTTTATTTCAGTGACACAGGTAACTGATTATGGATTGTGGGGGAGGGTTTAAAATATAAATTATTAAACATTCTTTACAGTTTTCATGTATAAATAATACATTTATTAGAAGCAAAAATGTTGATGGTGGCGTTTAAACATCCAAAACCCTCCCGGCTAGGCCAATGTTTTATATCAGGTATAAATTACAATGATTGTGTCGCACTTACCAGATTTTTTTAATCGTCTTTTTACTTTTAAGTTCAACATTTCAGCTTGCAAATTTCTTTCAAAGTCTTCAGCATTTCAAGTGTTCAGAACAAATATGAGATGACATAGGATTAAATTTGTCCGTTCGTTTGGTTCTTAAAATCCATCAAACGCTCTGGTTCAGTATTTTTCAGAAAGGTGTGATAGGATATATCTTTTGACAGACTTTTTGTTGCTTTTAAGCTATTCTCACAGCATGTTACAGCACACATAGTACCAGGCATTATATATTATACATTATAGATTAAGACCAGAATTAAAATATAATATATAATACTTCTTTAAACAATTGTTACAAGTATTACTTATAATACATTTACTTATATTTTATTTGGTCACGGGATATCCAGCGGGCAGTGACCGGCAGTGGACTGTGGAGAATGGAGATTTAAATTTGTACGATAACTGACGAGTGATAACCATAACAGATCGATGGTGGTCTATTGCCTACGTCACAGATATATAATAACACATAATATTCTAAACTTTTTCTATTATTCTAATTTTCATATGAATATTTAACATAAATAACGAGTAACGACAAATTAAAATAGTAAAATACTACTCTGTCATGGCAAAAGTACAAGTAGGTACATAACATCATAACAATAATCGTTGTTAGGAAGCTCTAACGGTTAAACATATTATCCTGCTATACTGTCGAAACTACGCAGACACAAGAACAGCCTTAGGTATTCCTGAGCATCTATATGAAGCACTTGGACCCGATCACGAAAGCAATACCAAAATCATAAAGTTTCTTAAAGTTGTAACGATCTTGGTGGCTTGGTACCTACTATCGTAGTGATAATAGTAGACAAGTACCTAACCAGTACGTTAATGTACAGGTCGCAGACACTTCTTCAGATGTTGTAGTCGTGGTTGTTAAATAAATAAGAGAACAGTCGTTGTATAATATAATATTGTGATTATTATTATTACACTTCGATAATTTTACCAAGTCCAAAATAATATTGTACAGAGTGACATGAAGGTGCTTGCACTAATGGTTGGTAGTACACGTCTGAAAACAGGCCTATTCGGGCCCGCTTATAATATATTATGAAGTTCCCCGTGCCCCTCGTCTACAGATACGATAATCTTGGTTCTCACGGACGTGATTTGTGTGGACATCGATCCAGCCTACGCATTTACGACTGCATGTATTTCTACATTATGTTTATTATTATAAAATAATCTTTTTTACTCTTTTATATTTTGATTTCGTCGTGTTCAGTTTTTCCTGTAAAATATTTCATCCGCTTATTTATTCTGAACCCTAGTGTCCTTTATGTCCCCTAATCTCCCGGTTATGCCGGTCTACCGTATATTATCGTAACTATGCACCTGTGGAATTGACATTTGTTTCTGTCAAAATGTTACTACGCCTAATCCTAATTTTCTTATTACCTGGTTATGCCGGTCCATCGTATATTATAATAATAACTATGTACTTATGAAATTGGTATTACTCCGTAGTAACTGGCTTACTACAAAGTTACTAAATTGTATAACCTCATCTGACATTTGTATTTTTTTTTATGTTGTACTTATATGCTTTAACGTTAAAAATATGTAAATTACTTTCATTGTACTCAATATGCATAATTCCCTCTAGCGCATAAGTTAATTTTTATATTGTGCAATGTGCCAATAACCTTAGTTGTTACGTGTGTGAAGTTGGGTGACCAAAGCTAGGTGACTATTTTTTTCGGGCGGCTAGTGATAAGAAACCTTGCACGTTGTGTTGCATTCTTTAAATTTCAAGGGTGCCTTCTATTGCATCGAAACTATAAAGTAGATGTCGCCCTATGACATTTAATAACTATTTATTTTAAAAGTATATAAATAAATAATAAATTCTATTGGTGTCATTACCACGATAATTATACCGAAACCATAACTATACCGAATTATACAAATCAATAATAATTTAAAGTTAGGTTATAAATTGCCCTAATTTCGAAGACATGTTCTAACAAATGAACATTGTACTTTTGCAGTTTACATTAGCTAATTAAAAGTGTAAACTATTTAACGATGTCATTTGTTAGAGATCACATTCTACGGAAACAGGTAAGTTTACGTTATGTTAATTGTTTTTATTTAAATTAATTATGTAATATTCCGTTTATCTATCCACATACTGAATGGTAGTGTCTATGCAAACGAAAAATAGGCAAAACTCTATGTATTTGATTTTTTTTGATTTTTCCGGCAGTGTTCCAGAAGGAGTCGAAGGACCTAACATAGATATTCGGAAAGCCAGGAAAATTTACTATCCGACGAGATAAATTTCAAGAGCTCCCTGGCTTTTTAAGTAACCGTACTTAGTGCACGAAAGTGCCAGGTGACTAATGCCGGTATGACGTGAAACGTATACGCGCGCGTGGTTTTTGATTTTTCCGGCAGTGTTCTTGAAGGAGTCGAAGGTCCTAACATAGATATTCGGAAAGCCAGGAAAATTTACTACCCGACGAGATAAATTCCAAGAACCACCGGGCTTTCTAAGTAACCGTACTTAGTAAACGAAAGCGCCAGGTGACTAATGCCGGTATGACGCGAAACGTATACGCGCGCGTGGTTTTTGATTTTTCCGGCAGTGTTCCGGAAAGAGTCGAAGGACTTAACATAGATATTCGGAAAGCCAGGAAAATTTACTATCCGACGAGATAAATTCGAAGAACCACCGGGCTTTCTAAGTAACCGTACTTAGTAAACGAAAGCGCCAGGTGACTAATGCCGGTATGACGCGAAACGTATACGCGCGCGTGGTTTTTGATTTTTCCGGCAGTGTTCCGGAAAGAGTCGAAGGACTTAACATAGATATTCGGAAAGCCAGGAAAATTTACTACTCGACGAGATAAATTCCAAGAACCACCGGGCTTTCTAAGTAACCGTACTTAGTAAACGAAAGCGCCAGGTGACTAATGCCGGTATGACGCGAAACGTATACGCGCGCGTGGTTTTTGATTTTTCCGGCAGTGTTCCGGAAAGAGTCGAAGGACTTAACATAGATATTCGGAAAGCCAGGAAAATTTACTACCCGACGAGATAAATTTCAAGAACCACCGGGCTTTCTAAGTAACCGTACTTAGTAAACGAAAGCGCCAGGTGACTAATGCCGGTATGACACGAAACGTATACGCGCGCGTGGTTTTTGATTTTTCCGGCAGTGTTCCGGAAGGAGTCGAAGGACTTAACATAGATATTCGGATAGCCAGGAAAATTTACTACCCGACGAGATAAATTCCAAGAACCACCGGGCTTTCTAAGTAACCGTACTTAGTAAACGAAAGCGCCAGGTGACTAATGCCGGTATGACGCGAAACGTATACGCGCGCGTGGTTTTTGATTTTTCCGGCAGTGTTCCGGAAGGAGTCGAAGGACTTAACATAGATATTCGGAAAGCCAGGAAAACACAGTATTTTCTTATGCACGAAATGGATACTTTAATTTTGAAAACAAAATTTCAAATTGAAAATCAGCTACCCACAACTTCTCAACCTAATTACCAATTGGAAAATCTGCAACAAAATGTTCCGACTGCTTCATATAACTCGTATAATTTTCCTACTTCTATCAATTCAGCATCTTCGTTCTATTCTCAACCATCTCCTTTTTCTTACGCCCAACAGTTCCAACATCCTCAGAATATTTCACAGATATCTGGAATGACTACCGATGAATCCAATACTGGTAATACTCAACATGGATATTAGTAATGTTTTATAAAGGTTAATTTTTTTATATTTAAGTATTTTATTATACCTACTCTTTATATTCAAGGTTATATTTTATTTACATAACGATTTTAGATTTCTCTGTTTTTAGTTTTGTTATATTTATTTAAAATAATAACGAAAAGCAATTTATTAAATATTAAGTTATTCAAAGTTAGTAACAAGTTAAGTAATAACTAATAGTTTAAGTTTTTATTTGGACAATTAATGAGGACAAGATTTTTTTATTTAATAAGTATTTGATGATATTTATGATTACAGTATATATCGTAAATTATTAAAAATTAAACACGTTCATGTAATCTTACCTTGATTTCATCCTTAAGTACATCTATCAATGCGTCACAAACATCAAACACGCATCGGGAAACAGTTTGGGAAGAAAATTTAAATAAATAAGATAAACTTCTAAAACTGTCACCGGAAGCCAAAAACCTGAGTGTCACTGCTAACCTTTAATAATTTATTTTAAAGTATATTAGATAATAATAATTATTTGAAAAAAAAGCTAATGTGTGGTAACCTTTCTTGTACAGGGATTGCTTCTCTCATAATTGTATCATTTTTTTTAATTACTGGTCCAATTTTACTAAGTAAAAATTCAAAGTCAGTGGCCGACATCCTGCAAAAGTTTTCAAATTTACCAGATGGTTCTCGTCTTAGGTCCTCCATGAGATTTGTGGCATTGTACCTATCAAAGTATTATATCATAATCATTAAACAATAATATGTTCCAATGGTTATATAAGTTCTTATTTTAACTTAAAATATAGTTAGCAGCTACACTGTAGGTAGAATATATTATTGCGGATCTGTAAATCGTAATACTTACGTAGTAAACGAGTAAATCATTTTAAATAGTAAAACTTATTTTGAATATGAAATAAAAGTATCTATTGACTATTTAATATTCTAGTATTTTATATATACAAAATATATATACATTGGTAGCTATAAGGATTTAAAACGTAATAAACTTACTTCTTGCGACTTTGGTGTATTGTCGTCATCCACCACCTTCTCTTCTTTGGACTTTTGATTTTTTTCTTATTTTTTAAATATTCACCACACATCACAATAAATGAAGCACAAACTAGTGCTTTGTCGTTTTCACTTATCATAGTCCAATAAATTATTTATTAAATTGTGTTAAACTACAATAATAAATAATAAGCTATCTAGTAGGTACCTAAGTCTTTACCACACAACGATTAGGACTAGACTAATTTCTAAATAACTTAAATTTCCCAAAAACAAAAAATTAAAAATATTATTATTTAAGTGTGCCCCCCACCACCAATATTTGCTATAACAGCCAGCAGTGGGAACAGTGTACTTGGCTACTTGTACAAGTGCTCAAGTATTGGCGTACTTGTCAAGTACACCAGTCGTGTGAACACCCTCAGTCGTGCACTGGCCAAATGTACAATTATTGGCGTATTTGACAAGTACACCAGTCGTGGGAATGCGGCTTAATATAATATTATCATGAATTTAAAAAGTATATATTATACTTATTATAGTATATTATATAATATTATACTATCATGAATTTAAAAAGTATATATCGTCCCCGTTCATGCAAAACACACTAAGTCCAAAAACATGATTTTTGAGTATGAGCTTTTGCAATTTTTCCAAATTATAATTCCATATTCTGCGTATTAAGGAAAACATCGAATGGACTTAGTTAACATTTTGAATTGTATATTAAACATCTTTAAATAATATTGGGAGGGACTTAGTTGAATACAGCATATTGTAGATATTTTTAAACTGAATTCTTATATGACAATAAACCGGAAAACCCGATTTTTGGACTTAGTGTGTTTTGCATGAACGGGGACGATATTATACTTATTATAGTATATAAGTATATTATATTTATATAATATAATAATATTATATATAATATATAATATATTTATGTATAGTCAATAGTATATATAGTATTACTAGAGTACTGAGGAACCAGAAGGGAGGATTGTTTCTAGAATTAAAAGGTGGTACCTACTCTAAAGTAAATTTTTTGCAAGAACTTAAGGTATATTAATGGCCCAAAAATTAACTTGTAAATAAAAGCTACAACATTATATGATACTAGCTGATCCCGTGCACTTCGTTTCCCGTTAAATGTACCAACTCTATATGACTCAAACACTGTTCACTGCGTTATTTAATATTCGGTGTATGATGTTCTAGATTTATCTTAACTTTTCTGTTGCCCGGAATAAAAATTCTGAATTGCAGCAGTACATTATCAGATAGGTAATTTACCTGCGGTAGATCGCGGACCCCGTCACGGATTTCTTGGAATTTATCTCGTCGGGTAGTACATTTTCCTGGCTTTCCGAATATCTATGTTAAGTCCTTCGACTCCTTCCGGAACACTTCGGGAAAAATCAAAAACTCCGCGCGCCTTTACGTTACGCGTCATACCGGCATTAGTCCCCTGACGCTTTCGTTTACTAAGTACGGTTACTTAGAAAGCCCGGTGGTTCTTGGAATTTATCTCGTCGGGTAGTAAATTTTCCTGGCTTTCCGAATATCTATGTTAAGTCCTTCGACTCCTTCCGGAACACTGCCGGAAAAATCAAAAACCACGCGCGCATATACGTTTCGCGTCATACCGGCATTAGTCACCTGGCGCTTTCGTTTACTAAGTACGGTTACTTAGAAAGCCCGGTGGTTCTTGGTATTTATCTCGTCGGATAGTGAATTTTCCTGGCTTTCCGAATATCTATGTTAAGTCTTTCGACTCCTTCCGGAACACTTCGGGAAAAATCAAAAACCCCGCGCGCCTTTACGTTACGCGTCATACCGGCATTAGTGCCCTGACGCTCGTATACGTTTCGCGTCATACCGGCATTAGTCACCTGGCGCTTTCGTTTACTAAGTACGGTTACTTAGAAAGCCCGGTGGTTCTTGGAATTTATCTCGTCGGGTAGTAAATTTTCCTGGCTTTCCGAATATCTATGTTAAGTCCTTCGACTCCTTCCGGAACACTGCCGGAAAAATCAAAAACCACGCGCGCGTATACGTTTCGCGTCATACCGGCATTAGTCACCTGGCGCTTTCGTTTACTAAGTACGGTTACTTAGAAAGCCCGGTGGTTCTTGGAATTTATCTCGTCGGGTAGTAAATTTTCCTGGCTTTCCGAATATCTATGTTAGGACCTTCGACTCCTTCCGGAACACTTCGGGAAAAATCAAAAACCCCGCGCGCCTTTACGTTACGCGTCATACCGGCATTAGTCCCCTGACGCTTTCGTTTACTAAGTACGGTTACTTAGAAAGCCCGGTGGTTCTTGGAATTTATCTCGTCGGGTAGTAAATTTTCCTGGCTTTCCGAATATCTATGTTAAGTCCTTCGACTCCTTCCGGAACACTGCCGGAAAAATCAAAAACCACGCGCGCGTATACGTTTCGCGTCATACCGGCATTAGTCACCTGGCGCTTTCGTTTACTAAGTACGGTTACTTAGAAAGCCCGGTGGTTCTTGGAATTTATCTCGTCGGGTAGTAAATTTTCCTGGCTTTCCGAATATCTATGTTAAGTCTTTCGACTCTTTCCGGAACACTTCGGGAAAAATCAAAAACCGCGCGCGCGTATACGTTTCGTGTCATACCGGCATTAGTCACCTGGCGCTTTCGTTTACTAAGTACGGTTACTTAGAAAGCCCGGTGGTTCTTGGAATTTATCTCGTCGGGTAGTAAATTTTCCTGGCTTTCCGAATATCTATGTTAAGTCCTTCGACTCCTTCCGGAACACTGCCGGAAAAATCAAAAACCGCGCGCGCGTATACGTTTCGCGTCATACCGGCATTAGTCACCTGGCGCTTTCGTTTACTAAGTACGGTTACTTAGAAAGACCGGTGGTTCTTTGAATTTATCTCGTCGGGTAGTAAATTTTCCTGGCTTTCCGAATATCTATGTTAAGTCTTTCGACTCCTTCCGGAACACTTCGGGAAAAATCAAAAACCCCGCGCGCCTTTACGTTACGCGTCATACCGGCATTAGTCCCCTGACGCTTTCGTTTACTAAGTACGGTTACTTAGAAAGCCCGGTGGTTCTTGGAATTTATCTCGTCGGGTAGTAAATTTTCCTGGCTTTCCGAATATCTATGTTAAGTCTTTCGACTCCTTCCGGAACACTTCGGGAAAAATCAAAAATCCCGCGCGCCTTTACGTTACGCGTCATACCGGCATTAGTGCCCTGACGCTCGTATACGTTTCGCGTCATACCGGCATTAGTCACCTGGCGCTTTCGTTTACTAAGTACGGTTACTTAGAAAGCCCGGTGGTTCTTGGAATTTATCTCGTCGGGTAGTAAATTTTCCTGGCTTTCCGAATATCTATGTTAAGTCTTTCGACTCCTTCCGGAACACTTCGGGAAAAATCAAAAACCGCGCGCGCGTATACGTTTCGCGTCATACCGGCATTAGTCACCTGGCGCTTTCGTTTACTAAGTACGGTTACTTAGAAAGCCCGGTGGTTCTTGGAATTTATCTCGTCGGGTAGTACATTTTCCTGGCTTTCCGAATATCTATGTTAAGTCCTTCGACTCCTTCCGGAACACTTCGGGAAAAATCAAAAACTCCGCGCGCCTTTACGTTACGCGTCATACCGGCATTAGTCCCCTGACGCTTTCGTTTACTAAGTACGGTTACTTAGAAAGCCCGGTGGTTCTTGGAATTTATCTCGTCGGGTAGTAAATTTTCCTGGCTTTCCGAATATCTATGTTAAGTCCTTCGACTCCTTCCGGAACACTGCCGGAAAAATCAAAAACCACGCGTGCGTATACGTTTCGCGTCATACCGGCATTAGTCACCTGGCGCTTTCGTTTACTAAGTACGGTTACTTAGAAAGCCCGGTGGTTCTTGGTATTTATCTCGTCGGATAGTGAATTTTCCTGGCTTTCCGAATATCTATGTTAAGTCTTTCGACTCCTTCCGGAACACTGCCGGAAAAATCAAAAACCA